CACGTTCAACAAACATTTAGACTTGCTCGCCGAAGTATTCCACCGCTTCCGTCAGGCCCGCCTCCGGTTAAACCCAGACAAATGTCGATTTTGCGTCGACAACCTGAAATACCTGAGGCACGTTGTCGACCTTATCGGAATCCACACTGACCCCGACAAGGTCAGCGCGGTCGCGAATTGGGCCGAACCCCGCTCGGTGAAACCAATCCGACAGTTTCTCGGGATGGCGTCGTGGTACCGACGATTCATCAAAAATTTCTCGACGCTAGCCGCACCCCTCACGCAATTAACAAAGAAGAACGCCCGCTGGGCATGGGGGCGGAAGAAGCCGCCGCGTTCCGACAATTAAAACACGCGTTAACCACCGCGCACGTACTCGCATGCCCGTACTTTAACCGCCGTTTCTTCCTACAAACGGATGCAAGTACCAGCGGCCTCGGAGCCGTCCTCACTCAATATCACGAGGACGGCGAACGCGTCATCGCCTACGCGAGTCACACGCTATCCGGCGCCGAAAGAAATTATAGCGCCACGGAGCTCGAATGTCTCGCGGTTGTCTGGGGCATACAGAGAATGCGAAATTATCTAGAAGGGTACGCCTTCACCGTTATCACGGACCATCAGTCCTTACGCTGGTTACAAAAACTGGAAACTCCGACTGGACGATTCGCCCGCTGGCTATTCGAGCTCCAGCAATTTGACTACGAGATCAAGTACCGACGAGGAGAGATCCTCCGACAGTACCACGATGCCCCCACGGCCGGACACAGGGGGGTCGCGAAAACCATCGCCCGCATTGCCAAAAAATTGTATTGGCCCGGGATGTTTCGGGAAATCACCAACTACGTCCAACACTGCGCCAAATGCCTAGCGCATAAACCGCTACAACGAAAACCGGCAGAACATATGCACGCGACAAACGATAACCGCCCCTGGGAACACGTCACGGTCGACCTAGTGGGACCGCTTCCCCGATCACACCGGGGGCACGTATGGCTGCTAGTCATGCAAGACGTTTTTCAAAATGGGTAGAACTCTCGCCATTAAGAAAAGCCACGGCACCGGCCGTAACGCGCGAGATTATGGAACGCATAATCCTGCGATACGGCCGCCCCGATATCATTATATCGGACAACGGAACGCAATTTAAGTCCGCACCGCTAACAACGAGGCTCAACGCCTTTAATATCGAACATCGTACCGCACCCGCCCGCGCCCCGCATTGTAACCCCGTAGAACGCACCAACCGCACGATAAAAACAATGGTGGCGCAATATGTAGACCGCGACCACCGAGAGTGGGACGAACATCTCCCTGCGCTGTAATTCGCGTACAACACCGCACGACGCCACAGGATACACGCCAGCATACTTAAATCACGGCCGCGAATTAGTCCCGCCCGCCCCCGCACTCCCAACACCTACGGAGGCCCCAGAACCCGACATCGTCCGACAACAACTCCGAGACGCCGAGGAAGTCGTGCGCATCAACCTGGCCAGGGGATTCCAGCGACAACAACGATATTACGACCTACGACGGCGAGAATGGTGACCAAAGCTGGGCGACTATGTGTGGAAGCAAAACTACCCGCTGTCCAACAAAGCAAACGCATTCAATGCAAAGCTTGCGCCAAAATTCATCGGCCCGCTAGAAATACGTCGGTTTATTTCACCGGTAATCGTCGATCTCCGGAGCAAACGGGGAAAATGGTATCGTCATATACATATCCAGGACCTAAAACCCGCTCCCGGCGAAAATAAAAACATTGATACCGACGACAACAACAATACAGAGGATCCGGAAGACAATAACAGCGAAATCGACGAAAACAATAACGGGGAGGACGACGAACAAAACAACCCCACCACGAGCTAAAAATCAAAAGCCGACGAAAGGAGAGCAACCAGAAAGATCACGAGCTCAGAAGCTTCTAAGATGAGCATCGAAATAGACATCCTCGAAGCAATAAACGAGATCTTGGGAGATCCCGAGCCGCCGTATGGCACAGGGGTGCTGGAAGCACCGCCGATCTCCCGGCCGCCACCACCAAAACGGCCGCCGAAAGTTGGCACCGCCATCCAACTGTCCGACCGGACGAACCAGCGGAAGCTGGCCATGTTGGCCACACCGCCGCCGCCGCTAACCGCCTGCCACCGTCGCCGAACAACACCGGCACCGACAAGGCCGCCAGCCAAACAACCAAGGTCGCCACCGGGGCAGGATCAAGCACCAGAGGAGCAAGCAACGGCCGTTATACGGCCGCCGTTACGCCGTTATACGGAAAACCGAGCACAGCCTAATGCTGCCGGAAGATCCCGAGCGTCACCCGCCGAAACGCCGCGTCGTTTCGCCCAGGGGAAGCGACGCGTTTACCGTACCGAGTGCTGCCGTAAAAGCCCGAGCGACACCCGCCGAAACGCCGCGCCATTTCGACCAGGGGAGATGACGTGTTTACCGTAATTACCCGCCGAAAAACAACACGTCATTATCCCCACCCGGGGGCGAACGACGCGGTTACCGTTAGACGCTCGGGTATACAACTCGGGTATATAATATCTAAGCGGTTCGATACATCGAACATTGCGCACCGACTAACGAACGCGAATTGCATCTAACGCGTTGCATTATCCGCCGCGCGCTAGCTTCACGAAACATATTGTAAATAGACCATTGCCGAAAGAGGCGAATAAATACGCTACATTATAACTCAAGCTTTTCGTGTGTCTCACCTCTTCACGAGCCCTGATCCCGACCGAGTTCATCCGCGCGCTCGCGAAAAGTAACCCCGTTACACTTTGTCTCCATCATTTCTTCCTCCTTATGAATTACGTTTAAGACCGAATTGTATCATTATGTTGATTAGAAATCTCAGTATCAATGAAGATTTTTACAATGGCATTAGATTAATGATTATAGAACTTGCTGATCATTTATTGAAATGTAAAATCTTAACGGGTGATAAAGTAGGAGATATCGTTCTGGGTGTGATATTGCATGTGTATAAAGCTGGTATACTTGATCTTCTGGAGTATCAAAAAATCATCTGAAGCATCAAAATTTTTTACAGTGATTGCAGTTATATTGGTTTATGACGTATATGATTTTAATTATGGAGAATGTCCATAAATAAAAGCGCGCGCGTGGCGCGCGCCTGTATTGTTCTAGTATTTTAAAAAGCAAATATGAGGCTGCAGGTGCAGGAGCCCTCGAGGAATTCATTGAAAAGTTTTTGCTATGACAATTAATAAATCACAGGGACAAACATTTGACAGAGTAGGAATAGATCTTCGCAAAGATGTTTTTACGTTGCCTTTTCACTATTTGTACTTGGCAAGTATTAAAAGTTTACCTTGGCAGTCAGCGAGATAATAAAAAAGTTAAAAATTATGTATATAAAGAAATATATATATGATTTTTTTTCCTTTAAATTTTTATATGAGGATAGTTTTTGACATAATTATATGTACGTATGGATTTGTGTTGTGATATTGCATGTGTATAAAGCTGGTATACTTGATCTTCTGGAGCATCAAAAAATCATCTGAAGCATCAACATTTTTTGCAGTGATTGCAGTTATATTGGTTTATGACGTATATGATTTTAATTATGGAAAATGTCCATAAATAAAAGCGCGCGCGTGGCGCGCGCCTGTATTGTTCTAGTATTTTAAAAAGCAAATATGAGGCTGCAGGTGCAGGAGCCCTCGAGGAATTCATTGAAAAAAGATTAAAAAATAAGTGGTTACAAGTACACAAAGCTAGCATGCGGAAAATAATCAACTGGTTTCGTTAAATTATCCTTTTGCGTAGACTAAATAATATATTGCAACATTTTGTTTTCTTTTTTGTTTATAAAAAAGTTTGTTTTGTTTCCGCATATTTTGTTCATGTTATTTTATATTTAAGCTTTCTAGTTCGCTACATATATATATATATTGGGAGAGGCGAGGGAGTGAAAGGGAGGGGCGAGAGAGGGGTGAGGGGAGAGAGAGAGAGAAGCGCGAGTGAACGCGTAAGTAAATGTGCGAGGAGCATGAAGCTAAGGGATACGTAGTACATAGTGAGCGAGCGATTAGAAAGAGACAGAGCGTATGATCGAGAGAGAAAAGATACTGCAATAATGTTAGTGCGTACATGTATATTACTCTCACACGCATGAAAGAGACAAAGATAGTACGATTATGTCTATCCTTGTCATGTAAGATTGCAGCTCTGTCTATCGCAACATCACGCAACTAATCTACTGCTCTGTTTTACTCTTGAGCCTCGATCTCGCACACTCACATATGCACGAAACATTTGCAAACAGTAATCTTTTTTACTAGGCTTCTAAACACGTTTCTAAACGTTTACTTATATTCTTTCATGCATTTCCGAGTGAAGAGGTATCATATTTTGCACGTACACATTGCAAAACTTTTATATTAAACAAGTATTGTTACGACCTGATGCCAGAAGCCAATAAAAAAACTGTAATTTTTTAGTTTTTTTCTGTTTTAACATAAACTCGGGATGTCTCTTTTTTTATTTAATGTGTACTTAAATCGTGGAAAAGGATTTATTATTTTATTCAACCAAAAAATAGATTTCCGTATGCAAAAAAATTATCATTTTGGTCGGTAAAATAGAACAGTCTGACATCCTCTTAATGTCATTAAGAAGAACATCACATTATGCATGCTTTTGATATTAAGTACTTTCTATAAAAATAAGCCAAAGAGAGATTATATAAACTATCGCTAGAATCTAATTAATTTTTATTAATATTTTAATTTAATATATTTGGTGCAATTTTGTTTTTATATCTTTGGTTAATGATATCAAAAGATTATATAGGGGCTGTATGTTACATATATCATTCAAATTAAGATATTGTACGATAATTTTTTTTTGTACATATTGCTTGTAACTTAGTTTTCGTTCAATTAAAGTTTTTTTAAAGGAATTTAAAACATCCGAATAATGCAAAAATTAATTATAAGACGTACTATACATTCTAGATTATCGCCACCATCCCCTGGTGATCTAAGATGCAGAGTGACACAGCTTCTTTCTAGCTCACGAATACCACCACCAGTACCTGCAGACGGTCGATCAGCACCAGCCATTCCTAATAGACCTCCGAGTGAACCATCACCAACTCGAGCTAATCCTGGTCTACCTCCATCTATGATACCATCGTGAGTATATATTATATAATTAACACATATAAAACTAATTTTAAATTTTAAATTCTCTATTTATTAATATCATTAAAAAGATCTTGATTAAAACTTATATCGCGATTTTATCAATCACAATTCTAATGCTAAACTATGCGCACATTGAAGTTTCAACCGCACAATAATCTCGTTTGTAATGTGATTTTGTATTCAAACTTATAACAATACAATAATATGACATGAAAATGATACCATTTTACACAATTGTGAAATTAATACAATTTGCTTTTTCGAACATCTCTCGTTCATCTATATTAAACATTAACTTGTGTGTCTGAAGGCTTGGTTACTAACTTTATTTTCTATTGCAGGCGCCGACAATAACCACATTTACATGCAGCATTTAGTCCACGGCCTATATCTCAAATTCGACCTAAATTATTTAGGCCGCCTGCTGTAAATACTTGGTAGGCGAACCGACCTGGCTTCAGATAAGGCTGCATATTTTAGTGACCTGATTTGAAATAGGATGCCTGCTTTTCCGATAAACGCGCGATCAATCGCAATGCGACCTAAAGGCTTATTTGCTCGCTATTGTTTTGTTGAACTGTCAAATTAAAGTTAAACCGGCGAAATATAATATAATAAATATATATACAAGTCTAAATAAAATAAAATGTGACACATATTACATTTTACTTTGTACGTAATGAATATACATGCAATTTTTGAATTATTAAAAAAAGGTGTAGCATGTCTATGTCATTTTTGAAATTTTTTATAATTAATTTTAATTTTTCTAGAATTTAATTTTTAATTTAAATTGTAGAAAAATCAGTAATTTTTAATTTTAATTTTTTTATAATTGATTTTCAGTTTTTAGTTTCCCTAAAAATAAATTTTATTTTATTATTTCTAAAACTTACTAGGAATTAAAAAAATACTAAGACTATTAAAATATTAGGGAGATAAACTAAAGAATAAAATTTAAATTTATTTTTAGACAAATTTAAATTTTATATTATTTATATTTTATTCTTTTGTTTATTTTATTTTATCTAGGTCTCTTTCAATGTAAACGGTGGTGACTAGACCTACTTTGGACCATGGTATAGGTTAGGCCGCGATCAGATCGCTGGGTGTAAATGTGGTCATTTAAACATGGTCAATAGTAAGTTTTTGCATTATCTCGCCTATTTGCTACTACTCAATGCCGTATCCGTATTGCATTATACACACAATCAAAAAAAAAGCGGTACACTAAAAATTTGGGAAAAATTTACCAAATTTCAAATTATCATAACTTGGTAAATAATGAAGATAAAAATAAATGCCAACATGGAAAATGAAGCTCCGAATGTCCACTTTAAGAATATTTGAATGGCAATTATGCTCGGCCATTTTTTTCAAAATGGCGAGAGATAAAATGAGAGGATGCAAAATTGATAATCGAAGGTCCAAATTTGCGACGGTACATGGCGTGAATCAGGTATCGCAGCCCAATAGGACAAAATGCACATGAAAGTATAGGGTGTTAGCTTTAAAATGCTTTTTTACCGAGCTTGATGCGATTATTTTTCGCTGAGTTATGCCAATTTAAAGAAAGAAACAGTTTTTTTCTTTAAATTTACATAACTCAGCGAAAAATGCTCGCATCAAGCTCGGTGAAAAAGCATTTTAAAGCAAACACTCTATACTTTCATGTACACTTCGTCGCATTAGGCTGCGATACCTACTGTACGACATGCGCCGTCGCAAACTCGAAGCTTTATTTTTCAACTTTGCATGCTCTTTTTTTGTCATCCGCCATTTTGAAGAAATCGTCGCGCACGATCTCGACTTAAATTTCGAAAAGTAAGATTAGAAAACTTTCAAACCGTTTTTGAAATTTTGTGCTGGGGTATTTAGGTGCCGAGATATTCAATTCCGAATTTGCAACAAGGTCGATTCAGTCAAATTATGGTCGTAATTCTTTCGAATATGAACGGCATGGAGTTTTACTAATCGGAATGGCATCTCATTGTGTGTGTATGTGTGCGCGTGTGTGCGCGCGCGCATGCATGTGTATTTGTACATATACTACAAGGATAAGGACCCCGTGGTTCGTCAGCTCAATAGTACAATATTTTAAGACTCCACACCCTCCTTGTGGTGTGTGTGTGTGCGTGTGCGCGCGCGCATGCATGTGTGTTTGTATACCACAAAGATAAGGACCCCGTGGTTCGTCAGCTCCACAGTATTATAAGACTCCATACCCTCCTTGTGGTGTGCGTGTGTGTGTGTTTTAAGCCTTTCCTCCCACACCGAACAAAAACCTCTAATGGATGTCCAGTAGACGTCCATCATGGAGATTCGAAACCTCTATTAGATGTCCATGTAATCTCCTATAGACATCTACTAGACATCCACAATTCCGCATTTCTTACTTCCATTCGACATCCATTAGACGTATTCATAGATGTCACATGGACGTCATATGGTATAATCATGGATATTTCATGGAGCTTTGATGGATGAATAATAGCCTTCAAGGCACACCAATATCCCAATAAAGTCACATCTTAAATTGTAAGACGGTAACATTCCACGGAGATTAATAAACCTGCCATCAACTTCCCAGCGACATGAAAATGTTCGTCCAAACACTCCAAACTCATTTCATTAACATCCCAGAGACTTTGCGCGTAACGTTGTATTAATATTCATACAACATGCCACAAAACTCCTAATATTATTTTTCATAAGGAACTTTTGCAAAAAAAATATTATGTTGCCAAAAATTGATTAAACACTTATTTTTTCAATAGCTTTCAATCATTTTTTCACTAATAATTGAATAGTTCAAACTTTTTTCTTTTTATATAGAATCCCGCAGAAAATCCGAAAAATTAAATAAAAGGAGCTTTTATTAGTGTGTTTCTGGAAATATAAGATATGTGTGTATA